ATGCACAGCGAAAATTAAACAATTTTAAGTAAATTCCCAACAGCACCAGTAGTAGGTTACCCTACCCAGTCTACGTCTAAAAAGGCATACAGATCAAGTGTAGTGTTTGATGTAAAGTGTGAATGTATGTCAATAGTTCATTTGAAATATTGTAGGATATATCGAACCATTTTCAAGTGTATGATGGAAGGATCATGCATAAATTGAGACACGTAATTAACACTATATAAAAGATATAGTCGTATGAGAATAACGTACTGTAATGCACCAACAAGGCCTCGAAAGTAACTTGGGTCTTCCAAAGAAAATATCTTTTTTGTTCTAGATTGTATGGGGAAGATACTTGATTGAATGGTTCCTGTTGACAAAAAATGAGATAATAGTTTCAAGTTGATGAAGTCACATTTTACATTAGAGTGGAAATTTTTAATTTGTTTATTGAATTGCCCGGTAACATATTTCTCAAAAGAGTTATAAGCAATTAAAAATCAGATTTACGTTTTAATGGAGTGGTTCAACTATATTTAGAGAAATCATCTACCAAACATGCATAATATCTTAACTTACCAATAGACAAAATAGGAGCAAGTCCCGGCAAGTCATAATGTATTTTTTTTTTCAAAAATATTAGAACTCGAATGTTCAGAACTAGAAAAATGTAGTTTACTAAGCTTCCCTAATTGGAAATTATCACAAAGATGTTAAGATTTCATAGTTCCAATGACATCAATCAAACCCTTGTTTTTCAATAATTGTAAAGTTGAAAATTGATGATATACTAAATGTTGGTGCCAAACTTCTACTAAGCCTGATTTGAAACGATGAGAGACATACAACTCCGATAAAGAGGGAAGAACATGGAGGTCACCCTTGCACTTCCCTGTTATTACGTTCCTTAACACAAAAATAAATATTAGAGAATTCACAGTTGACAAGAAATTGGGCAGTGATCTGACTTACAAAGAGTAAATTTTTTTGTTAAGTTAGGAACAAGAATGGCATCAGAAGAGGTAAGGTAGTATTCTTCTGTTAAATGCAAGAATCACCATTATCGAGAATGTGTAGAGAGGATCCATCACCAATAAGAACATAATCAATACCAAAATATTCACAGATGTTGGTTAACGTACCTGGCTTATTTGTCATGTGATTGGAAGCTCCCATGTCCGAAGTCCATTGAGTTCTGTGATGGTGTTGTCTAGAGTGAGTGCTGCAAGTTCTTGTGGTATTTCATTGCGTTGATTAGGCTTCTTGTGGTATTTCATTTTGCCACCCCGTCTCAGGTCGCGGGCCGGCCCGAGATGAGGCAGAGATGCCTCGCCCCGAACCCGCCCCGTGAAGAATTAAAAAAAATTATTTTGTACATTGTTTGTTTTGAGTGTTTGCTTTAGATATTGATATAGTTAGTTTGAGCATTATTTGTTCTAGATTTTAAAATTTTGAATTCGTATTATAACTGGAAATAAAAAAAGGGGCATGTCTGCGCCCCAAGACCCGTCTAGGGAGGGGCGGAGGTGTCCCGCCCCGCTGCCATCTCTAATAGGCAACCACCAGAAAATTTTGGCAATGTGACCCATTGTTCCATGGTATTGACATTGTTCTTCGCGGTGCAAAACTCTTCGTAGGAGTCACGCGACGTTGTCCTGGCGGTGTAGAATGGCGCTGTTAAGTTGAGGGAGTGGGGTTGTTTAAGTACTTTGTCTATGGTCCCTAGATTGTTGTGTTTGGAAGCCTCACCTAGTGGACGTAAATTTCTATGAGTTGCCATGATAGCCAGAGGAAGGCTATTGAGAATGCTGCTGATGTTGCCCATAGAATGCTAGTTAATGAGTAAAGTGAGAACTTCGTAGATTTGCATGGTTAGAGAACTAACTACACCTCTGATCAAGATTTTGAAGTTGTAGACTCTTTAAGACGTAAAGATATGGAGTTCTGAGCTGAAAAACAAGGTAGAAGAAGATGTGGGGTTCACATGATGAGAGTTAGACCTCAAGCTTAGTATGGTGCAAATCAAGAAATTCAAGACAGTGGTGACTCGAGTGATGCGGGTGGTAAAAAGAAAGGTAGAAGTTGGGATATGTTTAAGTCAGGAGCAAATGATAAACAATGTTATAGCTAAGGTTGGTCTAGACACTTTATAAGAGACTGTTATAAAAAGAATAAATGGAAGAAAAGGTAAGAGGTGAGCCAAACGTTGCCACTGGGTTTAGTTATGACCAGAGTAAGGTTTATTGATAATGCACTCTCTTGTGGTTATTACTGCATTTGCATATGTGTGTGAAATCTCATTTGCATAATTGATTGTTTGATTCTAGTGCATTACTTATGTTACATTTCCATATGTTTGGTGTGTACATTTTCATGAATCTAAGAGTAATATACATGCATAGCAGTTGGGATTATTCTTGTGAGGTTTGACACTGGGTGGGTTCTCACCTTAGTAGGTACATATTAGCAATAAATAGAACAACTGGTAATATGGAGAATAGATGTTTGAGGGTGCATTGGTGACATATATAGGTGATGTGTAGGATTGACATTTAGATCACGAGAGGTGGGGTGGTTAAATTTTTGAAATCTTTTGTCTATTAGAATCCCGATTGGGTGAAATGAGAGAGTGACACTCTTATCCACCTTTATTAGGTGGAGACTCATTATTCACCTAGTTTGAAATATCCGAGATAGTGATAGAGGAACTTTCCACCGATTCAAGATCTTTAGTGGTTTACCGGTTATGCATGAGAAGTGACCAATTCAGTGAGCATTGTTGACAATGAGAAAAGAGATTGTTCTCTAATACGAGCTACATGGAATAGAGCAAGAAAATTGTGGTAAGATCTTTTCTTGAGGTTATTTATGCATTGGTTACATATATTGATCATTTATTTGATTAACTTGGTTTCAATTGTTGTTCTCTTGTATGTTAAACACATTGAAAAAATTTGTGTATTATCATATGGCATATTTTTATCGCATGTGTGTAATTATGTGTTATTATGTGCTCTGATTGATCAATATGTATATTTGATTGTATTGGAGTTTGAACTTAGACCTTGGTGCATACATGTAGCATGTGTTCCTGGTCCAAGACACTGGTAACATCTATGATTTCCAATTTTATTTGATACCTTGATTAAGCAAGTATTAACTTTGTGTTCTTTGGTTATAGGTTCATTGGGTATCAAAATAAAGATTTTTTTGGTTTTTGGTTGATACCCAATAAGTCCTAATTTATGATGTTTGTGTCATTTAAGGTATAATTTCATAGGCTTCGACCGAGGATTGAAATAGGAGATTAATACCACAAGGTGGGACAAAAAATTAGCTCAACCCATTTACTTATGATGGCCTATTTGTGCCTTGTTTGGCACATTTGTTGTTACAATAATTCTTGCCCTGAACTAAATATGTATTATCCCTCCTTTGTGGAAGAATCGTCACCTAAGTGTGGCTTTAGTGTGTGTGATTTGTGAGAAAAAGAGGCAAACAGTTTTTCTTGTTCTTTATGAGTTTTGCTTGGTGTCTTCTCTTTTCTTCTTCTTCTTGTGAGTTGCTACTATTGTCACCTTCCTTTTGTAGAATAATAATTTGTGGGTGTCGTGGCACCAGGTGCTGTTCGGGTTGTCTGTTGTTTTCTCTCCTACTTCGTTTTGGACTCCGTTTTTTAGCATCTTACTTCATCAACAACTCTATCAAGAGGGTTTGGACGTCCCTTAGATATTCCCTATAAATACTAAACTCTTTTATAAGTGTGAGAAAATAGATTACTAGAATTATATGATCCATTATAATTCTCTCTCTTCTCAATTATTTTTGAGTCAATAAAATCTCTTAATTCATCTACCATATTCTTGTCTTTATTATTCTTTTACTTGATCATATACTTCATTATTATTTGCCATATAACTTCAACATCTCAATCCGGTGGTTTTTTTCACAACAATTCTGGTATCTTGGTTGTTTTACAACAATTGGTATCAAAGCGCCAGGTTCAGCAGTTCCGCAAAAGCGCAAAGTTTAATTTGTTCGAGATTTTTTATTCGTGATGACTTCCATGAAGTATGACATTCTCTTTTGGATCGGAGCACTAGATTTTCACTATGGCAGGTTAAGATGCGTGGAATACTTGTGCATGACTAAAAGTCTGACAAGTAAGTTGAACTTCAAGCAGCGCTTATACTCTCATCGAATGGAAGAAGGAGGATCATTTCAAGATCACCTGACTGTATTTAACGGGATCGTCGCTGATTTGGAAACTTTGGAAGTAGAGTATGATGAAGAAGATTTGGCATTGATCCTATTATATTTGTTGCCCACTTCGTTTTTTTCTTTTACAGACACGGTCTTGTATAGTCGTGATACTCTCACCATAGAAGAAGTATGTGATGATTTGTATTCAAAAGAGAAGATGAAGCATCTGATCTCTGATGCAAGAGATGGAGAAGTTCTGGTTGCTCATGGTGGTTCTGAAAGGGGCAAATCGAAATTTAAATTCAGTAATCAGATTTATAACTACTACAAGAAGAATGAGCACTTAAAGAAGGATTGCTACAAATTACAAAATAAATAAAGGCTAGCTGCAAATCCATATGGGAAGCAATCAGATATTTCAAGCGAAGCAGACATCGCAAAGAACGTTGTAAGTGATGGAGATCTCTTAGCTATTTCTGATATTGAGTCTAGACCGGAAGATGATTGGATTCTTGATTCAGCATGTGTGTTTCATATGTGTCCTTACATATGAAAC